TCCGGTGGTTGAGATCAGTGTATGGTTCTACAAAAAGCTAAATTATCTGAAGCCATACCGCAAACGTCCCGTTTCGCTGGCGGCTCCGTTATCACAGCTTTGATGCATACGCTACCCGGGCAATCGACAACGGGCAATAAATTTCTGACCTGAAACCATGGAAAAAAATGTTGAAAAGTGAATAGCCATTTGAGCGAATTGGAATTGAAATTCGGCAGTGAATTTTGGAAGCTCGGAAATTCTACTACGCATGGTCAAAAATCTAGAATTCAGCTTGGTACTGCAGTTGTAATGAAACTTCTTTATACAACAGGCTTCTGACTCTTTTCAAAGAAATTTCTGGAAATTCATGGGTAAAATAACCATATGTACACGAAAAAAAAGCTTTTTAAACATGTCCTGTCTTCGAAAAGTTCATTCTTCATAGTCACTGATGTCACTAAGTCAGTCACTCAAATCAAGTCATCAGTCAGCCGCTTAGACTTGTCTAACACTCAGCATTTCCCACCTTCGACACATGAAGGTTTATCGTGTGCGTTGTAAAGTTGACAGCTAAGCTTGACACGTACCTGGTCACAGCTCTCGTTGGCATACCAAGGGAATTCTCGAAGAAACTGCAGCCTGTTCGTTTCTTCGTCTTTCGGCTAAAACAATGAACATTATCGAACTGTAGCCTGATAGCTTTCAGTTCTCTGACAAGTTCTTAGATGGGTGAGCTTGGAGGGCGTTTCGAGTCTTTCGCTGGAAAAAGGGAAAGGGTGCATATGTGGATGAAAAGGTTGAAAAGGATGGATGAAAAACGCCAAGAACTATGTAGAATACCCCGCCAGATCTTCATCTTTTCTATGTAACAGATAGGAGAGGTATACCAAGATCGACATCCACGGACGGAGAATAAAAATATCATTTGGAAATGAATTCGTATTTTTTCCTCACACTCCCACTCTATGGGGACATTCACGTGCATATGTCTCTTGAAGGTCCTGCTCCAGAAAAGTGTAATGATGGCGAAGAGAGCGCGAAAATGGGCGCGTTCAGGGAGTATAAGGCTTAAAAAATTAGTAAAATCATGGGTTGGACGAGAATAAGACGACAAAAGTTGCATGGAAGGAGTAATTCGACGAGCTGTTCACATGTTTGTGTCATTGCATTCAGTAAACTGCCTGTCTTCATCGTGTGCGTCCCGTTGCGATCGTGCAACCTCTACAGAATCTACAACACTCAAAAACTCGTCCGTCTGGGGCGTGTACGTCGGCTATGCCAGCTTTTCAGCTTTTATTACGCTCAATCTAGGCCCTTTTTCGACCTGACAGCGTCACTTGTGCTAGTGGGGAGGTCACAGATTCGAAACCTTAGAAACCATTTTTATCGCGAACTGTGCCTGGGTCTCCGTCCTTCTAATGAATTTTCACCAAAATTTCGTTTCCCGAAGTGTTGATCCAACGAAATGTGCTCAATAACACCGCTCCGACCGTCAAAAAGCCCCCTCCTACTTACCTCACCATGGAGGATGGTTTTTATGGAAGGTAAATAATAGCATAGAGTGATCGTGTCAAAATGAATTTTGAAAGGTGAGGTGCTGGCAAGGGCGTTTTCCACAGCTCATTACTTTACTTTTTATGTTAATTTGAAATGGTGTTGAAGCAAAAGCATCTTCGCTTGCAGGAGTTTACTCACTACTATTATAATGTTCCTTGCTAGAAATTATGGTGGACTGCTCTACTGGTGAGACCTTGATCCGGGAATAAATAGAAGCCGTTGTCTGGATCTCAAAAGTAGTCCAGTGGCGGTGCTAATTTCTTTACTGTCACGCTTTTTGCAGGACCTACCTCAAGCCGTTCCTCAGTCGGAGTAACATTGAAGCATGCTTGTATTTTGGTAAAGCTTGGCCGTCATTTTATGAGAAGTATCGGGCAAGAATCCCGAAGTAACTACCCGAATAGCTTAGCAGCTCAGCTCCTCCCCATTCCCATCACTGAGACAATTTTGTGAACATTCCGGTTTCATAGACAATATAAATTCATTTCAATTATTATCGTTTCGATACGAGTAGTGCTAGAGCTGCGTGGATTCCATCCTTTGTCAATCCCAGTGGTACTTAATAACCCTTGGCCCGATGGTGACAGAATCCTCATCAGGGGGTTTTTTACAGGAACATCGTGGGATTAGTGATGCTGTATGTAAATACAATACGACAAAGGTAAAAGGAACACTTGGAACTGTAAGTCAATGTGAAAAGAAAGCCTCGATCAAGTATCTCCAGGAATACACTTACAAGTTAAGTTCTTGCAGTTAAGTTTACGCTGAACCATGATGGCAACAGGGTAAAGCTAGGTCNTAGCTAGGTCTAGCTAGGTCACGACAAGGACGCCGAAATAATCTCCCGGATCGATCAACGCTTGCAATACCCACACTGGAATAGTTTGGTGATTATTCCGGTTTCATAGTCAGTATAAAAGGTTTTTCAATCAGAGAAAGGGATTCTTTTGGCAGTAGATTTCGTACTTCATCGTCCATTACTATAGATAGCAAATGATTTCTAACTAGGAGATGTCAGAATTCTCGTCAAGGGGTTTTCCCAAGTACATCGTAGGAAGCGTTGATGTATATATACTATTCGTCAAAGTAAAAATAAACATTCGTCAGTAAACTGTGAGTGAATGCGAATGAAAACCAAATTTCCAGTTCTCCCGAAATACAACGTAACTCACCCATCTCATTTGCAGTTGTGGGGATGAGCAGCTGTAGCATTTTTCTGAAAAAAAAGGAGGAGTGAAACATTAGCCACATAATTTATCATGCATAACAGTATAGCTGGCTGAACGCCAAAAGTTGATATGATCGTATGAATTCCTGGATTTTGCTCAAGAAAAAGGTACATATCACAAACTCATGAGAGCGGTTGAACTTTGAGGTCAGTTTTCACATGTCGCTCGTTGAGATCGTATTTCATTCTTATCAGCCATGCTATTCACTTCGACGCAATAGCTTTTTATTGCATATTTTCCCAAGTGCTTCTGCTCTGTGGTCGGGCATGTGGCACGGTCCCGATCCTCGGCCCTTCTTTAACCTTTTTTTTGCATGTGCGAAGGCGGTATACATAGTAGAAAGTGATGCACTATCACACGCGCGGTCAGCGCTTTGATTCGATTTATACGCGCCTGAGCCAACTGAATTCTTCACCCTTCCGGGGCCGGTTAATTGGTACCGTAGTCGTTTGTGAGGGTAAAATCGCTGACATGTATGTCGGCTGGCCACTGTACGCCAATTCATTAAATAGGTCACAAGCCGCCTGAGTGGAGGTGTGAAGCTAGTGGAGGGGAGTGGGGTAGATCCTATAAACGGGATTCTTTCACGCTAAAGACTATCCATCATCGATTTTTTCTCACAATTTTGGCTAGAAAACTGCAAAACATAGCATATACTACAATTATAAAATATAATTAACTATTTAAGTATGGTAAGCCTTTCCTTTATATTATCTATCACAACTTTTTTTACTAGCCTTGCCTAATAAGCAGAGCCATCGGGGTGATAGGAAAGAAAGGTGGTACAATGGAGCCTATGCTCATTACTCTATATAGATATCATTTGATATCGCAAAGCAAAGTAATGTTCGATAGAAAGATTCCATAACATGACTGCCTCAGTAGCAGAGAAAACAAGGAATGAAGGGGATGAGATGAGAGTTTCGGTGCTGTGATATCGAAAAATAAAAACTATGTGTGCCAAGCAACAGTAGAAGTCGACATTTTCGAAGTCGTGAAGCTCAACCACGACTGATCGAAATTGATCCAGATTATTGATTATTGGTTGCGAGAGTAGTCTATGCACATAACTGAGCTGTTTTGCTCACTGCATAAGGAGTTCCGGGAAGCAATGAATCACTGATGAAAGATATCGCTTTTTCGAGTCATGCATTACCCTGGTGACAAATCACCCTACGCAACTGGTACATGGGAAAACCCCTAAGTTTAGTTGCTGGGTAATAGGCGAAAATGTAGACTCGGAGACAATGCGGACGAATAAATAAACAAATAATACGAATAAACGAATAATAACGTTTTTTGCTCTTTTATCCCCTGCATACTAGATCCACCCGCTCAGCAACTTTTTATGTTTAATGGCATTCCAGACGTAGCTCATCAGCACCCACACGTATAATGTGATGAGCCGATTAACCGATGTTAGCATTAAACCATGACTTGGATGGCTTTGATGACTTTGGCATTGCAATATTACGGCGATAAACAACCAAAAAAACAACGTCAAGCCAATTTTGCCACAGTAATCTCAAGGGAGGCTTAGCTCCTCGAAAAGATGGGAATCTTCCCACGACATGCGGTATGAGTGTTTGGAGGCGTTCAGTCGAGTGCAGCCACGAATGTCTACGAAAGCACTGAAGCTAATCCCCTTGAGAATGTTCTTTTTAATGCTCTTATGGGGCAGTTATTTTGTAAAATCATCAAAGTCGAACTAGCAAGTGAATTGACAAAGAAGAGAAAACTCTATGCTGACCGAAATAAATTGAATGCAGCCAGTTGCTTACTACTTATTTATTCCGGAAACCACTTGACTTTGATATCTTCAGCCATGTGTTTCTGTCAGGCCCACGGAAATGCTTATGCTGTTCATAGATCACTTGGCCAAAGCTCAAGCTAATGATCATTCGTAAATGAAGAACATAGCTATGCCGAGCATAGCGAGGGCTTAGGGCACTCTCCACTGCTCGGTGGCAAATTGCCAAAAATGGAACTTTTCCGATCCAACGCTACTTGCTCTATAAAATGCTCAAGAAAAGGGATTCATTAATGTAAATTCCATGCAAAATGTTGAAAGGAAATGGAGCAGGATTCCGCGTAGGAACCAGTTGCTGTTTTGACTAATTCGAATAATCAGTAATGCGCAGAGAGGAATGCGGAAGGGAAGGGTTAGCCCAGCTGGGAGTAATCATAGCTACGGAGATCAGAGTCTCTTGCGATGTAATCTGAGTGAGAAACGTTATCCACAAAGCTAGGCAGGGGTCACAGCAGTGAGGCTAAGTTAGCCGTAGTGCCCAATCTTCTCGCCACATACTTTTCGGTAAGAGGGTTCTGCTTGGAACGATTGGTGCAGCCTCTTGGCAGTTCTTTTGTCTATGAAACCCTTAATAAATCGGCTACATCTTGATTAATATGTTTTTAAAATAGGAATTAGCATAATTCAGAAATCTTCAAAGAATATGAATCACATCACAGTAAATGCGAAAAAAAAGGAAGCCATTAACAACGGATGAGGATAAAAACCTACCTGTCGACACAGAAATTGATGAGGTGTAGAGGAAAAGCAAGACGAACATCACCGGCTCCTCACACTCTCTCTCCCCTGAGTCAGAGAGAGGGCACAGCCTCGTGAGCAGGGCGCTGTCACGACGAGGGAAAGGGGACGTCGATGAGAGACTGCAGTCGATGCCAGAGGGCTTGAAGGCGGACCACGTTCGAGAGAGTTCTACTCTCAAAGAGAGTGACAATCGATACAAACTTTGGGGCGAGTTCATATAATGGATTGTTGGGTGATAAATGTGGCTACTTAGAGAGGAGTGGAATAGATTCTATTTGTCGCTTTCCCATTGGCCAGTCTGTTGAACTTCCATCCCTCTGTCGGGTACCCTGAAAGCGGTTAGCCCCAATGGTGTTCTATTTTGAGCTTCAAAGGAGGGCTAAGAACAACCTAGAGAGCTCTGATAATGAATTATCCATTCTGAGCGTTCATCTGAGCAAAAAACTCAAATTCCATGACGGATAACTACCAGTTGCTTTTTGCAGCCCTCTTCCTCTGAAGCTGGAATCCCTTTGTGGAGCCCAGGCTCCTACGATAGCTCAGAGATCACTCAGATTCCAGATCTTGACACAATTTGCTTGCAGGTGAAAAAGCTAAAGGCTGGCTCACATTACTTCCTGGAGAAGCTCTCACAAATATCCGATTTCTGTAGTAGTCACCTACAAAATTACATCATTGCCCAAGTCACACTTCACGATAATTCTGAGGTATCTATTCTGAGTGGAGTTATGGAAGTCAAGGTGCAGAATAGTGCAAGGGTAGCGAAAAAGTACGATAATTAATGGATTCCGACAAATATAAGGCTTCAAAGAAGTAGCAAGAAGGGGAGTTGTACGAGATGTCCGTCTGGGTGTCTCTCACATAAGCGTACTACTTGTTTCATCATGTGGAAAGTGCAGTAATAACAAGGTCGGCATGACACGGACACCTTGAGTGCCAAAATCTGTTTTGTTGCCCTTATTACGACCTTACTAGGCCGTTTTTGAGCGCGGCAGCGGCCCATGTACTATTCTTGGGGCCAGAGATTCATTATAGCAGGAAACATGGATACCTTTCTTATCGTGAACTGTGCCTCTGAGACGATAAAATGGGCAGCCCTGCAGGTTGATCCTCACTGATGAGCCACCTGAGGCTTTCACCTGAGGCTTTTTGTTCTGATGCCGGAACGTTCTCACTGCACTGGGCTTCGATGTTGCTTACGAATATGAGAACTGCCAAAACGATCGCAGATATCTAGTTTGGACGGAAGCTGCTCGAGTGAGCTTTATCTTCCCTCCTTCAAAGCTCCGTTACAATCCTGTTCTGGTGTCTAAATTTTCTCACTCTACTGGGCTTTGATGACATGAACAACAGATCGTAACCATACACATTTGGAGAGTTGCTTTTTAGTTTGGACTTCCTGAAGTCATCCCGTCAAGGTGGGCGGAGGTGAAGTAGTGCCAAGTGCCGCGTCACACAACTCATGCGGTTCGAGGAAGGAATTTCTGGCTCTAGGGGCACCAAGTTCGACTTCTGCACTTCGAATCAAATTCTGGAACACCTCTAGCGTCACGAGTTAGGTGACGGTTTCAAATTGAATTCGTCCGACTGAAACTGCTAGTCCTGGTGGACCTCCTTAGTAGATGATGAAGGTTTTATGCTTCCCGATCAAGCGATCTCTTGATTGCATACTCAGCTCGTTGTCTTTTTCCATCTACAACATAAAGAGAACTGAATTGGAACTTGCAATTGCAATGCTAAATGGTAATTGCTATGGGATTGTAAATGAAGTTGTATAAGTAGTTGTAATTGGTAGTAATAATTTGAAATTTTTAATCTCATTTTACATCTTGTCCCATAANAGATGATGAAGGTTTTATGCTTCCCGATCAAGCGATCTCTTGCTTGCATACTCAGCTCGTTGCCTTTTTCCGTCTACAACATAAAAAGAACTCAATTGGAACTTGCAATTGCAATGCTAAATGGTAATTGCTATGGGATTGTAAATGAAATTGTATAAGTAGTTGTAATTGGTAGCTTTAATAACTTGAAATTTTTAATCTCATTTTACATCTTGTCCCATAATTCATAATGGAACTTAGGCACGCAGCCTAATCCTACGATCTTTGTACACACTACCCGAGGTCCACTTCTTCAGACCACCCTTTGAACGAGAGCTTGTATCAAATTACGGCTATCTGAAGTGCTTTTTCGGGGTAGGTGGCATGATTGTAGTGGTCGGCAGTGTTTCGCTTTTTCTGTCCTGAGTCTACGACTGGAAAACTTAGAAAACAAGTCGGCGACAGAAACAGCTTGCGCTTTGGAATGATGAACGCCCATATAACGCTCCCTACTCAAATTCAGCAATCCTCACACCAACTGGGGCTAATTTGGGCATGGGTGTGTATAGCACAGTCCAAGGTTCTTCTCTAGTTCCCATGTGTGTCGTTCAAGAGTAGACTAAATACAGCCATCAGAAGATGCGATCGGCTGGGCTCTACCTTAGGTAGGCGACATATCACTCAGAAAATGCATGAATTATCAGGGTGTTCATTAGCAGACAAACAGGCAGACAGACAGACAGACAGACAGACAGACAGACAGAAAGATAGATAAATAAGAAGGCAGACTGGCAATCTTTCTACAGTCCCTTTATTGTCTCTTAGACGAGTTAGGCGACTGCACTTCTCACCGCCTGGAAGAAAAAGAAAAAAATTCATATAAAAATTAATATATACCGATATAGACTCAGAAGTAAGATGACGAACGTTGCGTGATGTAGAGCATCAAACCAGCCATCTCCCTGCCGATGGATATTTCACTCTCTGGCACAGCACAACAAGTTGGATATTATGATGTTCAAAGTGGAAGCAGGCCTGCATTGAATATGAGGGACAATATTGTGGATTGCAGCCCAAAAAGGTTGTGTGCCTCTCCAGGGTGTTTTACTTTCCTCCTACCCTGCAAAGGTAAGAAGTTCATATCCGAGCTTACAGATAGGGCATTTTGTGTAATCTGCCTCAGTATTCGTACTTCCATTCCTTCCTAAGTATCAAGCACGATGGGGGAAAGATGAAACGGAACCAGGGAGAATGGAAGCGATAGTGTGACTTTTCAATAGTGTAATCAAGACCGGAAGACCTCATTTTTAGAGGTAACTAAAGGATGGCGGATCGTCTTGATCAGACACCGGCTATGTCCTTTGTGAAAGCTAGTATGTCGCTGGTAGATATAACAGTCCAAGTGAGAGCACAATGAGAAGGACTCTCATGTTTTAGATTGAAAGGATTGTTGTAGAGTAGAGGGTCATCGCCGCGCAAAACACTAAAGAACGCAATGAGCTCGAAAAAAGTGGCTTCAACTCATTCATTTCATAATAATTTTACCACTATACTATATAATTATATACATTTTATGCTAGATCATTCAAGGTGTTGAATGGAGTAGGCGGATGAAGTGTTGGCATTTACTTCCCACCAAATAACGAATGTTGGTGCTTATATGAGACATGACAATTTTCCAATTGACACAATTTTAAAAATTTAAAGTGTAGTAGTTATGAGGTGTTTCCGGATGATTCGAAGAAATCCGAAGTGGTTTAGGAGCAATTTCGGAAGGAATCAAGCAGTCTCACCCGCTCAATTCAAGGAAAGTCGCAATGGCTTCATACATCAATTACAAGCACATAGCCCAAAGAAGGTTTCACCAGACTCAACCGGGTGCTGCAGTACCCTATCTCTACAGAAAGAGTACAGACGATGAGAGATTCTTCAAAAGGGTTGTTGGCCCGTTCTCTGAAGAGAGTTTATACCGAGTTTACCGAACCTTGAGTCTGTATGACACTCTTCTTAGGCTCTCCCTCAGTGGTGATAGGGGTGTGGTGCGTTAGGAACGAAATGGTCNGAAATACAAGAACAAAAGTACTAATAGTAGAATTATGCATAACATAATGATCGCATATCGATTGATGTATGAAGAACGCTAGAGCTGTTATAACGGCGAATGAGGCAAATGGTCCGCGACAGCCGCGTGCGGCGAATCGATCACCCAAAATCGTTCCTAACGCCCGTCTCCCGTGGTGATAGCGAACATAATCTATGATCTATTAGTTATTTTAGGAGTTCGTGCGTAACTCAAAATTTCTGATTGAATTTTTTTTGCAAAAAATGCATTGCCAATGTTGAACTTATGCACCGTTACAATCAACAGCTTGTTGCCATCCACTAGGCCAGGAATGGATGCTTTCCATCTAGAATTCACTCGGTTTCGAGCTATTATGTGAGATATTATGTAATAATTCGTATAATGGCTGCAAAAACTATAAGATCCACCTTTTTGTTTTTGTCACAAATCCCACCAATTCGACTAGAGATCATGAAAACCGTGAAGAAATGACATCTCCACCAATCATTCTACTCCTATCTTGTAATGAGTCATTGTGTCAGGGGCATCACTTTTTTATCATAACGACGACTATGTAATGGTCACCCAAAGCCATAGCATTCCATGCGAAATCAACAACGAAGCCAATAATTGTCCCCGTTAGCCACGGTTCCGTTTCCCATGACATAGATCTTGACGGGTCATACGGAAACATCCTTCAACGCTCTCTGATTCGCTAAATCTCGTCGGATGAAAGCCTGTCCGGTGCATGAAGTAGCGTATTGGCTTTAATTTCTTCCCGGTTCCACGATCGCCACCACCGGCTCATATCCAGTTCTAAGTGACCCCTTTTCTGTGGTTTTCATAAACATACAGTTCTAAATTCTTTATCAAAATTTTAAAAATCACTGCAAACGGAAATAAATAGCTGTACGATAGGTATACGATAAATTTGTACAAGTTACGNTCTCTGATTCGCTAAATCTCGTCGGATGAAAGCCTGTCCGGTGCATGAAGTAGCGTATTGGCTTTAATTTCTTCCCGGTTCCACGATCGCTCATATCCAGTTCTGAGTGACCCCTTTTCTCTGGTTTTCATACACATACAGTTCTAAATTCTTTATCAAAACTTTGGCAGAAATCACTGCAAACGGAAATAAATAGCTGTACGATAGGTATACGATAAATTTGTACAAGTTACGGTAAGGCCATGGGGAATGATGTCCATTATAAGAAGCAGACAGAGGAAAATGGCAGTAAAAGTTATGCAAGATCAATTTTAGAACATGTGCATACACACATTTGAAGAAAGCTCGGCAGGGAAGAGAAAGTGCATAAAGTTCTTCGGAGAAACTCTGGTAAATATATATATGTGCTCTATAAAGTCAATAAAAGCAAAATGTCAGTTGAAACATGAAAAATCCATGGGATTATGGTTGCCATGCAAGAGCATACTGACCGTTCTTCTCGATTTTGCACGTCTTTCCTTCCTGAAAATATTGCTATGAATAAAAACAAGGTAGAATTTTGCAACGGTGATCGATCCCGTCTCAAGAAGCTATGCGGATCCCGCTTACAAGCATGGCTGCCGTCGAACACCCATTTGGCCCATAAAGTGACGCGAAAGCTCTAATCGATCCCAAGGGTCAGGAAAGCGAGGGTAAGTAAGGTAGTATGTCTACAAGATTTGATCCCATAGCCGTGAGTGTGCTACTGCTCCTCTTGGCACTGCACCACGTCCACCTAAAGATGATGTTTGTTGATTTTTGGGACTCAAATGAGGCACATTTGTCAACACCGGTTAACGGAAGGACATAGCTCATTCCTCGCATTAATGTTGGAGTCTCCAGTAAGCAGCATTTCTAGTAGCACATTTTCTGAGGGTATACACGACGAAACATTGGGAACGCTGGAGGGAGAGCGCTTCTGCCGAAATGTCTCAAGAAGGTTTCAGCCACCTTGAAGCCTTACAAGAAGAATAGGCGGTACAAGGCAGTGGCAATGATATTTGCTAAGAGGGAGGTGTATCGGGCAGCGTTGAGGCCCGCGAGCACTACGGCAGCAGGTGCTGACCAGCAAATGAGAACCATGAAAGACAAATTTTTCTACCAAAATGAGGACGCTCAGACTGCAGTTGGAGAGACTGGAGTGATTAGAAACGAAAACGTCAGAGCGGACGTGCAAACACCCTCCGTCCAGCTCAAGATGAGAGCGCCCGTGACGGTTCGGGCATGTACAGAGAAGGCTACAGAATCATTCGATAAGGGGGGGGGGGGGG